TTTTTTTTTTTGAGCTAGAAAATCTGTCGAAAAGAGTTTGCAAATTTATAGTAGAATTTCTTTAGGTCGAGTTGATACTTCAGTGCACCGATATTTTTTTTCCTGTTTTCCAGTCAGATTTATTTATCAACACAGTACATTGCTATCTAACAACTTCTATAGATATCACTTCAACTTCCCATATTTTTAATGCTATGACACATCCAAAAAAGAGTAAAAAGTAAAGCAAGTTTATCGCTATTATATGGAACTATGATGATCTTCCTCTACTGAATATCAAGTTATAGCTGAAGGACCTCATGAATGTTTTACCAAGTGATATCTTCAGTTTTTATGTCCAAAATAATGTGAACTATAGCCACTTCACTCAATTTTTAACTCTTTGCAATGATAAATGTATATCCGTTCTTCTTTCATTTCTTCCATGTTTTCCCTAAACTGGCCCCAAACATTGCCACGATTCTAAATAGAAGATCCCATTAACATGATTTACGCGATTTGTTTTCCTTCTACACAAGATGTGGATGTAGTACTAAATTAACTCCACAGTCTTTATCCCATGCTATACACAACGTTGACTACATCAGCTCCATTTTGCCCATGAGTCCTACACATTTGACTAATATTCACACAAAATGACTAAAAAATGGGGGTATGGTATTAATTCTACACACTTATAAAACAACGTGATAGCTAGCTATTGAAAGATCACCAAAGAAGCAGCATAGCACAAGAAAACAAAGATTGGTAACTAAGTTTACTGCCATCAGGAACCTACTAAAAGTCTAAACCCAGAGAAAAAGTAGTAAATATTAAATAGAACTATATCCTATAATAACGTTCTTTTCATAGTGGAAACATCTTACGCACGACTGATGCCCAGTATTACATGGTACCAAACAATAGAATGAACAGCTTGTTTTTCTATCTTAGCATTGTCTAGTAATGTCTAGTCTATCTTATCATACATGCCACTAAAGTTCACCAATGTCACAATCGAAATATTGAATGAACTTCAAAAGGCCTCTTTGGATAAGGAATTGAAAAGCAACACTATCAACAAAACTAACTCCAGGAGTCTACTGCAAGTCTCTAATCATTCAAGCAATTAAAGCGACAAAATTAACATATTGAGTTTGACACAGACCATCAGAATCAATACCACAAAATCAACAAAAATAATATCGACAATCACAAGAAACTAAAAAAAATGAGTATTCTAGAGAAGTAGCAAATAAACTATATGCAAGTGTGCAAACATTATCAATAATAAGTTATCGTGTGCATGCTCGTGCGTCTACATTTAAATAAGGCTAAATGTGTACTTTTTAAAAAAAGAAAAAGGAAAAAGAAAAAAACAAAGCTGACCTGCTGCATTGCTGGCAAAACCTTTGCTCAAGGCCTGCAACAATGACCTTTGGGAACTTGGAGTGCATACTACATACTTTATGCCTTGAATAGTAAGCCTTAGCATCACTCAGATCTACGTTACACCCTTCTACTTGGCACCTGGGTCGCTGCCCACCCTGCCCCACCCCACTTCTCCCCTTCTTGGCAGGTGACGGGGGAGGCAGTCCGGCGGCCGTTGGCGGCAGAGATGGCGACCCACCACTAAATTTGTCCTGCACTCCAACACCCACATCTTCAAAGTAGATTTTCTTGCCAAACTTCAAGCCATTGAGTGAGTTTGATCCACCAGAAGCTGATGAAGAAGAAGAGGCTGAACCAAGTTCCATTCTTGTTGTCTAGAACCCATTCATCACTGCCTTCTGAAGTAGTCAAATGAATACCACGTTATATCATTATACGGAGACAAAAGAAATAGACGGAGAAGATATATGGGGTTGGGAAAGGAGCAATAAAGTCTAAAGAGGGGTTGTTTTGTATTTTTCTTGATACAGGAGTTCGTAGTTTGTACGTGTGGAAGTGCAGTGTAAAGTAGAAATCTGACAATGGGCCATAATGCCAGCTTGGGGTTTGTGCGGTTGTCAAAATAATTGAGATAGCAAACAGATGTCAGATTGTGACCGAGTTTTCTTAGTACTTTTTGGTAGTTCTCAGCAGCTTTACAACACACTTTTATAAGCACCAACTCAAGTGTCGTTTTTCACATAGCTCTTCCATTCTTTTTTTTCAACCATAAATTTATGATTAGTATTGAGGAAAATTGTAGTTACGATATTAAATTTTTTATTTTATTACAGATTTTGTTCAAATTTTTTATTTGTGTCAATCACAATATCAAACATTTTAAAAATTCGTACCAGAAAATTCAAATGAATGGAGACCGTTAGTTTATCTGTTAGTTGACCTATAGTCAATATTTTGACCAAATTTTGACTAAATTTTAAAGGGTAAAATTATAATTTTTATATAAAAAATAATTAAAATAAAAAACCTAAAACAAATACACTTCATCTTCTCAACATTCCCTACACAAACCCGGAAATCGAAATTAGAAACCGGAACCACCACTACCACTCATCCCACCACCCGCCACCGCCCATCGCCACCCCAACCTGTACTTTAGCATTTTTTGCCTCTCTTTCAATGTCAATTCCAAGATTTTGCAATTGACAATAGGTGGGCTGATTTTATTTCAACTGTAGCGGTCGATTTATAGGACTCTCGTTAATCTCTACCCCTATTCCAACTATTCAAATTGATTAACTAATAATTTCTACATTAATTCATTTGTTATTCACTCAATTCTGTGTTGAAAGGAAAAAAAAACTGCTATATTATTCCAACTATTCAAAAATGGTGGAGTTGTGGAATCCATACTCAAATTTGACCGGAGCCACCACGGCTTATGCACGACATTTGAGGCTATGGTAGGCGATTGTAATTTACTTATTTATTGCTTTAATTCTTGAAAATGGTGGAGTTGTGCGATGGCAGTGGTTGTGCGTTTTGGTTTGGGTGGGTGGGCAACAATATGAATTGTTTGCAGTGACTTTAGTGGCGATTGCGGTGCGGTGGTTTGGGTATGGTGGATGACGGTCGTCAACTGATTTGGGAGTGGTGGATGGCAGTGGTAGGCGCGATTGGGTGGGTGGACATTGGTTTGGCTTCTTCGGCGCGGGATGGGGTGGGGAGGGGTCAGGGTGGGCCGTTAGGGAAAAAAAGAAAGAAAATTTCGAATTCTTTTCTTTTTATTTTTGGTTTTTAAATTTAATTATTTTTGTTCTTTAATATAAAAATCTAAAGTTGCATTTTTACCCTTTAAAACTTAGTCAAATTTGGTCAGAATGTTGACTAACTGATAAACTAACGGTTTCCACCCATTTGGACTCCGAGTGCGAATTTTTGAAAGATTTGAGCAAAATCTGCAATAAAATGAAAGATTTGATATCGTGATTGCAAACTTAATATTATTTGTACATAATTATTTATAAATTGATGATAAAACTTAATCGAGTGAAATTAGCAAGCGTATGACATCGTTGACAAATAATACGTGATGAGTTAGAATATCGTTACATGAGGAATAAATTCTAATTCAAGTGTACTGATTTTCTTTCAAATTCGAATTATGTAATATAAAATAGATTGTTTATTGTAATTATCTCAAGTTATTCTACAAAATATGTTAAAAAGTGATTTGTAAACTTGTATACAGTGATTGTTTTGGACTCGAGAATTTGCCGATTGTTATCTATTTCTAAATCTCGACTATGTCATTTAGTTTCACTTATGTATTTTTTGACAACCGATAAGATAATCATATGGTAATTGAACTTTCTTTTTCAAAATAAATTAATTCTATTAGAGACACGATCGGATCTCGTTCTTAGTCCGAATTCATATAAATAGAACACATTTAAATATATGATTATCAAAATGATTGAACACGTCTCCCTATTGTCTATAGTCCGGGAATTAATCATGTAGTGTTTTAAACTTATTATGAGTCTTTCAGCACTACAACAAATAAATAATTATCTAATTAGTGCATAAAAATTTAAATAATATAATGAGAATGCAAGATTAATCGAGAATGCACAAGAATTAATAAAGCACTTATCTTTGAATTAAATACAAATAAACAACGGCATCAATTAACAAATAAGGATTTAGTCCAGCATTATTTCTATAATATTATAAGAATAATAATGAATAGATGTCACTCGGAACATGAATGAATGCAAGATATCTCGATCTTCAATTTCAAGCTCGAATTGTTTAAGTTTTTGATGTAATTCACATTCAATTCGTTGCAAGGTTGTTCTTCTCTCCCAATCGATGTGAATTTGTCTCTTATTCTTGATAAATTTTGTGATATGAATGTGAATTAAAAGGCTAAAGAGAGATCCCTTCAATGGTTGCTCATGTTTTGTATGTATAGCCTTCGAAATTTAGGTCAAAATCACTTCTCATTTGAGTTCCAAAGGAGTTTGTGTCAAGAAAGGAAAGTCACATTCATGTCTGGCCGGAAAGCATTGCGCACACATGGTATAAACCATTGCATGCGCATGGAACAATCAATTCAACATCGGGTTAGCCAAAATTAGGCCTTGCATGCATAAGGAATTTATACCATACGAGAGCATGGTTACGTTTGGGGCTGTCAATAGATTGAATTTTGATCCAAATTCAATTCAAATCCGATAAAATTAATGGGAGGTGGATTTAGGGTCTCAATCCGATAACTCAATCAAGATCCAAATTTGATAATTCGTTAACTAAATGGAGCAAATATGGATATAAGTCAATCCGAACTGATTTATTATAATAATATAATATATTTTATATGTTACTATATAATTTATTACACATTTTCTTTTTCATTTTGAGACTTGTATTATACTTTGTGACTTTTAATGAAAAATGCCAAACCTATCAAATTCTAAAATATATCCAAACGGATTATCGAATCAGATATTCGATAATATAGTAAATCTATATGAATTTAACAATCAAATACCCGTAGAATTATCGAATCGGATCGGATCCATGAATTATTCTTATTAGATCGGATCGAATACGGGTATATCCAATCCATTTACAACCCGAGTTACGTCTTGGGCAGTCGTTAGTATTTTTATTATATATTTCTCTTCCGATATCATATTGAGGCAATTTAAAGTGTTAGAATGTTAACTCTAAAGGCTATAGTTATTCTAGAAGTATAATTTTTTCAATTCGAATATTTACTACGCAAAAAACATGTTTCAATCCATGGTTGAGAATATAGAGCACAATTTGTATAGTTGAAAATTGATTGGTGAAAATATTTTGTCTGTCCTTCAATAGTTCATTCATTTGACTTCTAATTACATCCAATTGATTCTATATGATCTTCAATTATCATTTTGTGGTCCAAATCAACTATTGAATATTTGTAATTAGGTCCCCAAACTTAGGATTTTCGTCCATTTTTGTTCCTTTATTTCAATTTAGCTTCTGAACATTAATTTTCGTCTAACAAACAATATACAAAGGAGATTAAGCCATAATTAATTAAAAGAACTTCTAGATAATTGTATAAAATATAATTATCAAACACCCCCAAATTTGAATAATTGTTTGTTCTCAAACAAAAAAAAATATATAAAATATCTCAACAAACAAGCATGCGACAAAGTTTAGTCAGATAATTTGCAGTTTGTTTCAGGATTGAAAATATTGTATTAAATATATGAACAACTTCAAAATTCCAATGCAGAAATAAATTTCTACTTATCCAATGTAAAACAAATGTGTGTAAAGAATTAAGTAAACTATCATAAATTATTTCAATTTTCAAGTCTCAATTGTCAAATATATCATCTTTTTACTCGTGAGATACACACTCTCAAACTTATTCTTTGAACTATTTTCTTGAGGTGTGAATTAAGGTTGAATTTATATATTAATCCTCAAGCTCTCTAGTCTGTATAGATCTCACTAATTTCAAGTTAATATCTCCACAAATAAAAAATCTCCTTTATGTTGATTGTTTCAATTGCCAAGAATCTACTGTGCTAATAATCATTTGTCAAAAGTCTAATTTTTCCAAATAATTATTTGGGGTTTAATCAATACATGTAGTGCATCTTCTATTTTATGTACCTGTTATTTCAAATTTGCTGTATGTATTCCTTTTCATCCATTGGCTTGATCCCTTTTTAAGTTTTCCTTTTGGGATTTTTCATAAGTGTACTCGGTGGGATCTTTTATATACTAGCTTTCATTCATGAATTATGGTAGCTATTTCCTTTTTAAGCAATGATTAGTGTAATGCCCTTTTTTAAGCACAAGTTCTCAAATATCGACCTCTAATTTAAGATTTTTACCTAGTTTTCATCTCATTAGCATCAGACAATCCACATAAGAATTCGCACACATGAAATTCATATTCATCTCAGTATCTTCCCACAACGGGTCAACCCCACAACGGTTAAACCACTCCCAAACTATATTAAAATTGGTATAATGATGTATAATGTAGTGATTTTTTAGGTTAGCATCTAAGTTTCACTATTTCAACCTATCAAGCATATAGATCAACCCATTCGTTTACAATGTAGAACTTAATTCACATTCGGAATTAATATCAAATTTCACATAAATATGCATCAATTACTTAAATTAATATATAATTTTTAATATGATTAATAGTAGAAAACCCCTAGAAATGTTTCCATTTGTGAATACCTTTTATCTATTGAAAATCGCATAAAACCCCTTGTTTGAAACTTTTTGTACGAAAACCTCCATGTCATCAAGATCCGTCAAATTTTCCATTAAAAAA